TCGTAAGTTGAAGTATAAATACAATCGGGATTAAACTACAAATTAAAAAATAAAAGTGACCGAAATTGGACCATAAATCGAAGAATAAATATAACTAGGATTGGACCATGAGTCAAAGAATAAATATAACCGAGATTGAACTGCAAGTTGAAAAATGAAAATGATTAAGATGAATCGCGAGTCAAAGAATAAAGATAACTGAGATTGAATAGCAAGTCAAAAAATGAAAATGATTGAGATTGAAGTGTGAAGAATAAAAATGATCGAAACTAAGCCACAAGTCAAAAAATAAATATGACCGGGATTAAACCGTAAGTCAAAAAATAAAGGATAACTGAGATTAAACTATAGGTCGAATGAGGTGACTTCCAATGTGAGCTTGCGTGCTAACTAATTCTAGGCTTTCATGCCAACTAATCTAAGCTTGCATGCAGCTAAACTGGATTTAAATTTAGGTAGCAAATAATCTGGGCTTAAATTTTCATTAGGTGCTAATTACACTTGCTTAAAATCTTTTCATGGTGTTTAAATTTAGGTAGTAGATAATCTGGGCTTAAATTTTCATTTTGTGCTAATTACAGTGGCTTAAAATCTTTTCATGGTATGCCAAATAATTCAGGCTTAAATATTTTTTTAGTGCCAAAAAAATTGAGCTTAAGACTTGGTGTAAACTTAAATTTTTCTGAGAAATTGACAATTCTTATTAGAAATGAAAGAAGTAAAAAATCTCACTCTCAATAGATTGGATAATTCTACACCTAAAGATTCTTGCTAATTTAAAAAAACTTCATCACTTAAAGGAGATAAAAAGGGTGTATATTTTTTCATTTAATTTGGATTTATGTGCAAGCTAATTTGGGCTTATGTGTTAGTTAAACTGAGCTTATATGATAGCTAATCTAGGCTTATTGCTAGTTAATATGGGCTTATGGCTTCTTCATGCAAAATAATATTGGGCTTTATGTACCAGCTAATCTAGGCCTAAATATTTATTAATGCTAATTAAACTAGGCTTAAGACTTCATTGGTGTCAGATAATCTGGGCTTAAAACCTATGTGCCAACTAAACTTGGCTTAAATTTTTAAGAATTGGCAATCTTTATTGAAAATGAAAGAGGTCAAAATTTTCTTTCCAAATGGATTGAATAATTCTGTATATGGAGATTCCTATTTATTCAAAAGGGTTTCAACACCTAAAAAGAATAAAAGAGACATAATTTTTCATGCAAGTTCATAGATGAAACATAAGTTTTTCTAAAAAATGAATTCTTTGAAAACCAAATATATTCAACATTTTTCTTAGTCTCTAAATGCGACATTTTGATACATATCAAGGTTTACTATAAAAGCTTGAGATTTTGAAAGGTTATTTAAGAATGGATAGAAGTTGAGTTTTTTGAAATCAACCTATTTTAAACTTCTGGGACTTTGATATTTCGGATCTTTTAAAAAGGTTTGGTTTACCTTTATTCAGTATCCACAATATTTAACATTAAGAATGACCCTTAATGTTTACTCTAGACTACTTTTTTTTGGGTTTTTATCGTAAAACCACATTTATGTTTCTTTCTTTCTTTTTTAACTATTTTTTTTGCTTTTTTTTACCTCTTTTATTATTATACCATACACCTAAGAATTCGGCCTTATACGTAAGAGGAAAATAATTTTTTTAAAAAGGGTTAATGATCTAAATAGAAATTAGTTAATAAACAGAGACCTAAAAGATTCATGGTCATTTTTCTAAGAGAAACTTTTTAATTTTAAGTTAAAGTTTAGGATTGTAGAAAAACAAGGATAGAAAGGCTCAAAATAATTATTTAAGGGTATTTAAAACCAATAATCATTTTTTCATTTGAAGGATATACTCTAAGGTATATTCATTTTTATTTTCTTATTATTTCCACCCACTCATTTTTTTTCCTTCTTTTATTCTTCCTTTCTTTTCATTTTTCACTTTTTTTTTACCTTTTCTTTTGCATTTTTTATTAAATGCATTCAAAACTTTTGTGAACTTTTATATTAGGCCTTTGCCCTAACACACATGATTCCATTTGGACATCCCTATTCTTAACTCCTAAACGTGTTTTTTTTTGCCCTCTAGTGTTGAAAGTGATCTTTAGTTAGAGTTTATTTTAGAAGAATTCAATTAGGCTCAAAATGGGTAACAAGAGATAATTTTCTACATTTATGAAGGGATAATGAAAGACGGTCATTTTTCATTTCAAGCATAAACACTTAAATTGAAAAATAGTTCTCTTTAGGAAAATGAACTTGAAGAAAAGTTTTCATTTCAAAAGATTTTTTTTTGTTTTTTTTTAGAATTATTGGTTTTTTCTTGTCCCTTTTTCAAAACTTTGAATTTATCATGACTTTATTTTGATTTATTCAAATTTTCTAAGTTTATGATGTCATAACCATTTTTCTTTTGTCTTTTTTTTTCTCTCTTTTCTTATTGCCTTTTTACTTTTTTTTTTAACCAACCTCTCCATGAATCATACATAAGTTTGCTTTACTAGTAATGTGATTCATGGAAGATGCCTCATTTTAACAAACTACCATTAATATATTACAAAAAAAAGGTCACGTGGAAAAAAAAAGAAAAAGGTCATGTAGAATAAACCCATTTAAGGTGTCAGATGGTTCATGTTACTTTATAAAAAAGAATGAATGGGCTTCATAACTCAAGTTATTTTAAAGGCAATGAGATTTTTCTTTTCTAATTAGTGTGCTCCCAAGACATTGGACCAGGCTAATTTTGGGTAGAAAACTGTAAGATTGGTAAATTTGAGGTCATTTTATCGAACTTGGGTTGACTTTGATTTTTGAAAATTTTTATAACTATAGTATAACATTGACATATCAAATTACCATATTTGAATTTTTTTAAAAAATGTCATGCATGTCTGATTTTCTAGAAATCCCAATTTCTTTGTCTTTTTTAAAAATAGTTGTTTCATTGTTCATTGCTTTGAAAAAGAATATCACTGTCTAATGTCATAATGTTATCAAGTGAAAACAAGGTTCACAAATTCTAATTCATGGCTTTTGATAGGTCATGCCTAATAAAATAAAGTCATTTGGATGATTTAAGAATTGGTGTTTAGGTATTTAAGAAATTCTTAATAGTGATCACTAACTCCTCTAAGACTCAAAATTTTCTCTGTTATTCTTTCTTTTTCTTTTTCAAGGTATTATTATTATTATTTACCTTTGGACCTAACTATGTGGGACCTTATTTAAATCTAACATTTTCTCCTCTTTTCCATTTTTTTTCAAAGAAAACCTATGAGTTCAAAATTTAAAAGAAATTGAGAATATCACATGACAATATAAATCCATGAAATATTATGATGTACAAGATCCACTCATGTAGTGGAAACACTTAAACTTGACCCAACAATTCACATTTCCAAAAGTGTTGTTAGATGACACTCAAACTTATAGAAACAAAAGTTCCCCACTTAACATTTCAACCTTAGCATCATTGACCCTCGATTCTATCACTATCAATCATCAAAACCACTAACCAATTCTTTAAATTTTGTAGGATCTACATCAATGAAAACTGAACTGTATCCTTGAAGGCAATACAAACTAATTATTTTTTTAGTAAAAAAGTAATTTTTTTCTTAAAATGTGTAAGAAATTGTTAATCATAACAAAAGAAACTGAAACTTGGAATGTTAAATTAATATAAAATATCTTATTAAATTCGGTGTCACGAGTCAAGCGATTGTAATTCATTTCATGAATTGACCTAAACCCTAAATAAAATTATCATAAAAAATTTAAAATTAATGATACATATGTCTATTTACTTAAAAAAAATTATACACCCTTTTTTTACATTTTATTTTAAAAAAATCTACTCATCTTTTTTTTAAAATTGGTACAATTATAATTAATTAAATAATCAATTATTACATCATAATCAAATTATAATTATTAACTAATTAATTAATTAATTATAATATAACTAAACAATCAAATCCATAAATTTTTGGATTTAAACTTAAAACTTCAAAATTGTAGGATCTCTTCCTTACTACTACTATTTTTTTTTTTTTACATATTTTTTTTCAAAACATTAATTTTTCCCACCCATATTGTGGATGTATCAAATTTTCTAGCGTGTATGTGTGCAAGTGCCAGGGATATTTGTTGTAGATGGAGGAGTAATTTAAAACTTTGTATTGTGTACGTCTGTTTTAAATTCTACAACTAGTTTAAAAAAATTATCATCATTTGTATCTTTTTAATTAGATTAGTTATTTATTTGTTTTAATATACTCTTAAGTCTAGAAGGGTATGTGCTAATCTTTTAATTCCATTGGTGCAGTCTGTGTCTGTGTACGAGACAATTTATCTTAATAATGTATACTTTGCTTTTATTTGTTTATTTAATTTTAAGGGTTTTTGTTTAGTTTGTTATTTTAACTATTTTATTTATTCTTTTTCTTGACCAAATTCGCTTGCTTTTATTTAGACTAAATTGAAGGAACACTTGTTCTTTAATAAATATTTTTCATAATTTAGAGCTTTCGTTTGTATATTTTAGATTCATTTATCCAAACATTAGTAGACCTTTGTTTTTTTTTTTTTTGGTGTGTGTGTGTGTGTGTTCTTGATCAATTAAAACACATTTTTTTTAAAAGGTGTACTTAAAATGCTATTCTGCAGTCTCTTTCATTCTTGATTTCTCTTTCCCAGCCTAACTTTAAGCAGATTTCTCATTGTATATGAAAATGAGAACGAAAGTGGACTAAAACATACTGCAATTATGTTGCACGTGTTTGATGGTATCTATCAAGCTAAAAGAAATTAAATTGATGAATGTAAATAAATAAAATTTAAAACTCATCAAAATGTGATATTTTTAAAGCTAAACACAAAATTTGCTAGAAATCAAGAAAAAAATGATGATGCAAAAGCATATAGAAACTGCAAGAAAAAAAAGTGTAATGGTAATGCTTTCAGATTACATGAACATTGCTGCTACATATATGAGACAAAAATAGTATCAGAAAAGGAAAAAAGAAAAAATGAAAAAAACGAAGGTTATCACAGGATTTTTGAGCCAGAACTGCCATATCAGTAGATGGCCCATCATATTAAAATTGGAAGAACAATAAAAAGATAAGGCCATTAAGAAGTTTCAAACTAGCTAACCTACCAAATGAACATCAAATTTCCACTTTTGTCCTCCACCTTCATCATCAGTTCAAGTTGCACAAAAATGCAATCCACAACTACTAAACATCTGCTTTTGTGTTTTCAAAACCCCATAAAGCAAAGGGAAAAGAATTTATATTTCTATATCTTGCAAAAAGTGAAAATTTTGTTTAAAGGTTAAAGAAATTGTTGAAAGGGTCTGTTGATGGAGTAGTAGGAGACGGTATTAAATAAGGTGAGATATTAGAGCTTGAAGGACTAGGCATGAAACTGCCTTCTATGAAATTCCTGTTTCCATGAAGAAAAGGACTCAAATCAGGGAGGAAATTTATTGAGTTTGGATCAGATGGTGGTGAGAAGAAGTTTGATGATATTGGAGGTAGTAAGGTTGGCCCAGGAGACAATACTCCTGGAAAGAAACTTGTTCTTTCAACCCAAGGATTCATCTCTATGCCTTCTACAAACTCAAAGTTTTCTTCGCTAATTTGTTTCTTTTTTCCTTCTGCAGGTGACCGTGTCTTCTCTATAGTAGCAAATCTTGCCGCTGGTGAGATTGCACCACTGGTATCATTGAATGGTACTGGATGATTGGATGTTGATGGTGGAAGGGATGAAGATCCCGAAGACGATGATGTCGAGCCTGTAAGGCGTTGAACTAGGCTCATGAAATCCCGAGGGTTTGTATGGATCACCTTTGGTGACACAGTGTAGATGATTACTGGGGGCTTTATTTGTGTCGGTTGTTGTTGCTCTGGCTGTGGTGCCAACGGTGGTTTCTTGATCTTGTATGAGTCTTTACGAACCTTCAAAGGGGCGGGACGAGGACCCTGAAGTTCTTTCTTAGGCGATCTGCTAGTAGGAAAATCCGATGAATTCATGTTGAATTTTGAATGAAAGTAATAAAAATAAAACGAAAAGTGAGACCACAAAAAACCGATGATGAAGAAGAAATTAATAGCATAATTATTGCATTTCGCTGCAATGAGAAAAGGGGGGGACAATTGGAAGTATTTAAAGAGAGCAAGTCAATGGAAATAAAAGAGGATAATTTAATGTGTGAAATGAGAATGATTTAGTAAACTTTGGCTTCTTGTACAGTGATATTTTAGGGGGAAATGTAGGCCGATGTCGTGGTGTTACGAATGTTTGAAATTGTCCAAGCTTTTATAAGCTGAAGTGGAAAGGGTCAGTGGGACGTTAGAGAGAGAAATGGTGATGTAGCTTGTACATGTAAGCTTATTTATAGAATAATTTTTTTTAGATTTATTTATAGAATAATAATTAATATACTAATAAGATAATAAAAATGCTTGAGACAGTCCACGCATACAATCTACAGATTGATTGGAAACTTCTAATTTGAAATTTTCATATCTAAATTTTTGTGACAAAATAATGAATATACTAGATAAGTCTGTGATTATTAATTTTGGTTTAGAGTCGAATTCGCTTATGGGATTGATTTTGTGTTTGACAAGGTCTTCTCAGAATATGTTTGGAAGGTTATTACATTCTTTCTATGTTTCATTCAAGGCATGCATCTAGTATCTACGTCATAAATAGAAATGTTCAAGAAATATGTTCAAGGATGTGAGAAACGTTCTTCTTCTTTTCTTTTTTTTTTTTTTTTCTTGAAATTGAACACGTTTTATTGAAAACGTTCTTCCCTAAATGCATGCACAAACGAAAATTTTTTTACACGAGCATAAAAATTATACAACTTGTTTATAATATCATTGTACTTCCAAGGGCTTTCGGTTACTTTATTCAACCAAGAAGAAACAACAATGAATCACCTTCAACAATAATCTCCAGGAAGGGATCAAAATTAGCATCAACAATAATGAAGAGAGCTCCTAGGATAACCAACAGTTCCGCAAAGTTAGAGTCTTGGATTGCTATATGTTTGGAGAATAACAGAATTATCTTATCTTTGTGATCTCGAAGAACCACCCCATTGCCTGCTGGACTTGGTTTGTCGATTGCAGAGCCGTCGACATTTAACGTCCACACTCTTTCGGGTTGGGGGGTCCAATCGATGTTTTTCCTAACTGGTTTTGTATGCCACCGTACCAATTGATTTTGGATGTTTGAGACAACGTCCAGGGAAGAATAGCTTGTATCAGGAAATTTGGCTTTTTAACCATCATCCAAGTCTAATGCAGATCAAATTTTAAAGTTCATCAGTCAACATGGTTTTTTGGTTGAAAATCTTTTCGTTGCGAGCCAAATATACTGACCAAATGATATCATAGAACAAAGTATATATCCCAGATATTCTTGTTGCTAATCTACATTGCAAGGCATTTCCATGATTGAAATAGGACATTTAGAGTCCCAGGAATAGGCCAAAAAATACATCACTGCCCACACCACTTGTTCCATATTTTTCAAGAGAAGTGGTAATAAATAAAGGATGGTTAACGATTTCAGCCATATCGTAGAAAGGACATTTGTTCTCCGTATTCCTTAGACATTCTCTTCTTTGAAGCACATCCCTGATCGGATGCAGCCTTTCAAATCTCTCCATGCAAAGACTTCTACTTTTGGTGGAGCAATACCTTTCCAAATGAGCTTTTCAAAAGGTGCTTTGTGAGATGTGTTTTTCTCCAGCACTTGTCTGAATGATTTAGGACTGAAAATGCCATTTGTAGTGTGCATCCAGATGGATCTGTCTGAGGCCGAAATAAACAATGAAACGGAGTTTAAAATCTTTTAGAAAGGCTTCCCACTGATCTTTCTCCCAATCGAAGAGGTTAGGCCTCAGTTTCATGTTCCATTTCCAAGTCAGGCCCTCCCATTCTCCAAATTACTTGATGAACCCATCTTTTTTAATAACAAAAGCATAGATTCTTCCAAAGCTGTGTTTCAAAATGTAGCTGTCAATCCATCTATCACTCCAAAATCAGATCCTAGAGCCGTCACCTGCACAGAAAAACAAACTGGAATTCAAAAGAATGGGACGGCCAAGGAGCAGGCAACAAATCAATAAGAGGAAGTTTATACTTCTCACAGATCACGTTCCTCCACAAAGTGTTTGTCTCTCCACCAAATCTTCACAGCCATTTAGATAATAAGGCTTGATTGTTGTAATGTAGATTAGCGATCCCCAAACCACCATACTTTTTGCTCTTGCCAATCGTGTCCCAGTCAATCAGTCTCAATTTTCTCTTGTCATCACTTTCACCCATAAGAACTGTCTCTGGATTTTTTTCTAGTTCTGAGATAACTCCATAGGGAGTCTTGAACATAGACATGTAGTATATCGAGAGATTAGATAGAACAGATTTGATTAAAGTAACTCTACCCCATAGACAAAAGTTTGCTTTTCTAGAGGCTGAGTCTATTTCTGAATGTGTCAATAACTGTCTGCCAAGTTGAGATCAGTCTCGGGTTGGCTCCCAAGGGAAGGCCAAGGTATTTTATAGGTAAAGAATCAACCTTGCAATTGATTTTCGAAGTCCATTCTTCCTCAATCGAGGCTTCAACCTTGATACCAAATAAGGCATTTTTATAAAAGTTTACTTTCAAACCGGAGGCCAGCTGAAAAAAACGAAGGACTCTTTTAATTGATTGATTGCAGGCACTTTATTATGACTTTTCTCATACTTGGCTAGACGCACCCTTAATCTCCATCGTTCCAAACAGATCCATCCAATGCCCTTATGACTGATAAAGCCTCTCGTAGATCCTTAAAACGAAAGAAGCCAAATTTGCTACGCCTAGACATTTTCCTCTTTAGAGGAATGTAGAAATCAAGAATTCACTCCCATACTGCATGATCTGGTCCCACAGTTCTGCTTCCCTGCCTTCAGGATGAATACTGTCGACAAAGATTGTAACTTTCTTTTCCATTGTTCTATCTCTGAACGCGAATGCCTGTACCCTTCTGATCGATTGCTGCTGTGCTTCTTGCCGTACCCATTCCACTTTCTCATTCTACCCCTCACCACTCTCCTTTTTCCAGCTATCTCCCACACTTGAAAGGAAAGGAAATGCAAGAGCAAAGCTCTTATGTGAGAAACTTTAATTAATAGGATAGAAATATTTCTCAAATTTCCTTACATATTGGGTATATATATTGGGCTATATGTGAAAGGGACATCCTCTCCAATCTTATAGATATCATCCATTATTTTCAAGTTTCAAATAAGAGATTTGCGTAATTATTAGTCGTATATATAATAGTTTCCATTGCAATCTAAATAGATTTTATAATTTTTGTTCATATTATACCAAATATGTGCAAAATATGAAAAATTATTATGTTAAATTCATATACAAAATTTATTTTTTGATTTTTACCAAATTCATATACAATTTTCACTAAAATTTTAGACATATCACTTTCATTTCATTTTTATATTGTATCACTTTATCTTTTTCAAAAAATATTAGATCTAAATCTCAAGATCAAATTGGTCAATTTGTCTCCTTATGAATTTCTTTTGTTTGTTTTACCTTTATCTTTTATTATAGTAATTTTTATTGTGGTTTTTAAATTTTTTAAAAACATGGTTTCAGTTTTTTAGAATACATGGTTTCTTAATTTTACACCATAGAATATATCTGTCTATCAGTAGACTTTTATTTATATTTCTAAACAGGTTGAACTTTTTCACATTAGGTTATCTACTTTAAGTATACAATTAATTGATTAAAGTTTATATCCAATAAAAATTTCACATCCTTGGATCCATGTCAATGAATCACATATATATTAGAGAACCCTCAATTCATTTTCATATGTAAATTACTTTAATAACTTACATTAATTAATCATTGTTCCATACAATCCTATCTCCTCTAAAATCTTACTCTTTTATTTTTATTTTTATCAAGTGTAAAGCAATTGGAAGAAGAAGGAATGGGAATCTACTTAATTCTTGGAACCAAGATATTGAGAATCGATCCTATAACTCTCGAGTTAAATGCAATGAAATTTTAAAATTTTAACAATTTCAAAACTCTTAGAACCACGTTGACAAGTAACTAAACAATCAAGCAACCAATCGACGAGGCAGATTTCGCAAGTTGTGTGTAACAAATTTAACTAAGAGACATACCAAACTTGATTGCTGTAATTAATCTACAATTGTTCAAGTGTCCAACCTCTAATTTTAAATCCACTCGAATAAGAAAGAAAGAACTTTCACCAAGATCGGATAAAAGTCTAGAGAAATTCTATGCTAGTAAAATCTTCTATAGCTCTTTTTAATTTTCTTTTCTCTCAAGAGATCTCAACAGATTGTGTGTGATATACTAATTAATTTGGATTAGATAAATCAAAATATTTTAGTTTGTCATTATATAATTTTTTAATTAATCAATCTTATTTTTATAAATGATAATTGTCATCATATAATAAGTCATGATCTTCTATTGTTAAGAAAGATCAACAACATTTTATCCATATCAGCACTTAGTTTCTTAGTATAATTGTTATTCCTTTATCACTTAATATCTTCAAAATTTATCCAAATTTCAACATATGAGATCTGTTACTTACTTCATATTTACAACTTTTTCTCTTATTTTTAAATTGTAACTTCTTTTATATAAATTTTTTTTGATATTGTCGCCATTTGAGCCCTAGCAAAGAAATTAACTAATCTAATGCAGTCACGACAGCTGATATTTAATAATGCAATATTAATTTCATGTGATTGTGTGGAACAACTATTGCTTCTTTTACAATCTAAATTAATTTGATGAAAAATCAATAATATTGACTTAAAACAAAAACTTGTTTAGGATATCTCAAATTTCAAATTGACTTAAATTTAGCTGTCAAGGGCTCGAAAACAATCTATTGAGGATTTTGATATTGCAATATAAAAAATTTAGTTCCATTTTGTCAAAGGGTCCATGTGAATATGCAATGGTCTAAATTATTAGTATCATTACTTTTAATATTTATTTAAGGTCACAAAGTAGTTTTTTAAA